AGAATTTCAACAAAATCTCATTTGTATAATTATGTGTATTTAACATTGTTCGCTGCTATACTTTGTTTTAAAATTGACTGACGTTGACTTGCTTTTATCGGGAAATTTGTGTATATTGTGACATATTTAGGGTTCAAGTTTTTAGATAACATATACACTCTATTTTTAACGTATTAACTATAAAACACAATTAAATATTTCAATGTTGGCAGACATAAATAATATGGAAATATAAGAACTTAAATTAGATTAGTGTGTAATAAAAATAAACTCAAATAAACTCTCCAAGTTAATTAAATATGTTATATTTTTGTTAAATATATTTGAGATTGTCGTATCGAACCGATCGAAACAAATACAATAAGACTAAGACACTACACATCCTAAGCCAGAATAATAGATCTAAGTTGGTCAAAGTGCTACAGATCTAAAACATTTTCTAATATAATACCTCCAATAATAAAAAAGTACAGTTTTTTTAGATAATATTTTAATACAAGCAAAAAAATTATGTGCCGAGCAATTTTTACTCTTTTATGATGTTTAAAATTTCTGACTTGTTCTTTTATAGCGTATGGTACTAAGATTTTCTGTTTAATAATGTTGTCATTTTCGACCAATCAGATTTATAGTAAATTGTAGTACTCAAGAAAAATCTGTTTAAATGTTTTCAGTCTCAGTACCAACTGTTTTTTCTTTATTTTATAAGAGTTTTATACCATAAATTTCTTCTAATGTCATGTAATGTCATACAGGTCGTTTTATGGTATGTAAATACATAAATATTAAATAAATTGGACTAGTACTTCTTCGTACTTGACCGTTTTCATTGTCGCACGACGCACAATGCGTTGCATGCTGTCCTGCCTGCATAATGTATCTTCTATTCAAATATGTAGAGCGCGTTCTTTGCATAAATCTCATTGCATAGTCATTTCTCATTATGAAGTTTGTCTAACAATTCTGTGACAACGTTATTACATTTAGTATAATACCTTGTTAAAACTTATTTGTGGATATATATCACTTTGCTTTCCTCCACTTATTCAACAGCAGCAGTATAACTTTGTTGTCTACACAATGTCTCTTACTACAGTTACAAACAAATTCAGATAAATTACTACTACTCGTTATTGGTAGTAGATTTTGAATTTCAATCTGCTGGACTATACCTAGAGTGACTTGCCCGGCTTGGATCGGGTACTCTTAAAGTGCATTTTGTAAACTCACATAATTACACAGGAGCAATATATACAGTGAATGAATTTCTCAAAGTTGTGCTCGATGCAGAGGGTCCGGAGCTAGCTTTCCAGAACAAAATCCGTTTTCTTTCTTGTCAATATTAGTAGATATAAAAAGTATCATTGCTTCTTAAACTAATCAAGCATACCATTTCCGATAGGTTCGAGTCCTTGCACAATGCAAACATTTGTATTGATCTGGTTATTTTCAATGTATATATAAAAAAATATTATCAGTTGTTTAGTACTCATAACACAAGCTCTGATTAGATTGGGACTAGATTGTGCTGTGTGAATTGTTCTGTATTATTATAGTTAGTCTATATTTCTTTATTGTTAGTATTATAGTTTTTATACAATGTATTTAATAATATAAAACTCCCTATAGCGAAGATCTGATTACATCAGATAATCAGGAACCTATTAATCCAACGAGGTTTATATACAGCATGCGAAATAAGGAAGAAACACCACACGCGACGACTTTCTACTCCACCTGTGAACATCGTAAATGCATAACATTACACATGGTATGGTCTTTCGACGATATCTTAATCAGATACATACATGACTTGTCCTACGTAATACCTTGTTACTTTTTATCATTGGACTGGTTGCTTTATAACAGGTTTCATTCGTACATTACATTACTTCGTTATGTATATTGTTTATAGCATCCCAATCTTAAATTAAGTTGGATCTAAATCAATATTGACTTTAAGTGTTTTAATAAATTAAGTATCTTTTTGTGTCTGAAAAATATACGAGATTACATAGTTAATTGTGCATATCTACTATTGTGGCTTATAGAAAGAAATGCATTCGTATTGGCAGCGTTAAATATTTATTTCAAAATGTTTTTTATCAAGTAATCATAGATTTTTATAGTAATTACTTGCACTTGTAACATTAAATAAGTAAGATTAACGTCAAAAATGAAACCAGGGATGGGGTTATCTGAATAGGGTCTCTTTCAACCAACCTATCACCACTGTCACAGCGTTGGTAGTTAACGGCCAATAGTAGTGCACTAGTGTTGTGAAGACATAAATACAATATTCTAATGTATACTAAAAAAAAAGAAAACATATATAAATAATGAGAAAATGTTAATACCTATTGAACCTATTTGGTAAATGAACAGTATATTATAAATATAATAAAATAGGCATATATGAATATAGAAATATATAACTAATCATACATAACTTATATTAAACTGCATCCTGTGTTGATGGACATGAGATTTTAATATTATTTTAGAAGTCAATTACACTATACTAAAGCTAATTCAAAGATCATAATTACTATGTAAAGTATATACAGTTGGAAGTCTACTTCAATACATACGAGTATCTGTAATCTTCCCAGACTTCCGCCCATAGTGTGATGGCGGTGTTGTTGTGCTTATTGTTTAAAGTGGCATATCTGTAAACTTAACTCGAGGAAGCACTCTATACAATGCAGACGTTGGAGGCTATGAACGTTGTCTTATCTTAGTAATATTTAACTTCCATATTTAATAATAGAATACGAGAAATTGTTCTTTTTATTTCTATAATAATGTTGATATTTCAAAATACATCCCTGAATTAAAAGCAGAGAATAAAGCAGCAATTTTGTGTCTCTATAGATACATATCTGCCCTCGATGATGGCGTATTTACTAAACTAAAAATAAATGATCTACAAAAAGAGAAATAAGATACCGAGGGAACCTGTGTCACTCAGGTACTAATAGTTAGTTTATTTATAATAACTATTATATTACGGTACACACTACATTCTATGTAAAAAGACATAAATCGGCTTTCGGACTGTTAAATTGTCTTATTCGGGTAATGAGAAACTTGAAACAAATAGATATTTTAAATTACTGTCATTTTACCGCTACTTCACATGTCCAATGTCTTTGAGCTGGACATCAAACAGACCAGAATACAAAGAGACCTCTCTCTCATAAATATCTACTCTGAATGGGTTCCTGTTAAAGCGGATAGATTTATGAGCGTATGGAACGCCCTAACGTTACTTCCTCCAGCGTTTAGACTATCCAATATCTCTCGTTTCTTATGACCGCCTAGTACTTTTGCCACGCTGTCATAGACATTATATTTAACATGTTGGAAAAAAAACAGTAGTTGTTTATACTTTAAAATCCTTATCCAATCGTACGGAAAAGAGAGACTTGCAAAAGGAGATTATGCGAATTTTAGCGGTGTATTTTTTTAAGTGTTACGCGATATATTTGTCAACAATAAACTGGTTTCGATGATTCCTAATTACTACAGTCCACAATGATAAGCATATTTTTTCTCTATTCTATTATTTCTCGCTTTATTTTTTATGTAAATTAATGTCCTCATAAATAAGTCATAACATTATATAAATTACTCTTTATTTTACTGTTCTTACTTATTCAGTTTTACGTATAGTCTTTTTTACTATTAAATTATGTACCGCCGTTACGTTTAAATTCAAATGTAGTATATTTTAAAGATTACTACTTTTAAGTCTGAAGATGGAATACAAAATAACTATAAATGTAGTAACAACATGACTACTGAGTCAGCATCTCCCATATAAATCGGCGATATTACGACACAATGCCGGATGAATTATAAAAACCCGTGTGAAAGCATAGCATTCTATCTCCCTTGTTTACACGAAGAAATAAAATTATAAAAGGTTTACCTTTTACAGTATAAAAGGTTTAGGTTTGTCGTAGGTTCTATTCTCGTACAATACAAACTTTTAAACATATCTGACAAACAGATATCTATAAAGGTTTGTAAACACCACACACTCATTATTAGGTATATTATATTATTATTAGCAATAAATTATATTCCAGTATTTACCTATTTATATTTATTTATTACTTTGAACGATCTGGTACATTGCTGGCAATTGAGTCTCTAAACCTCATTAATAAAATTCCTCCCTTTCATATGCTGCTGTATTAAATATCTTAACATATATAATTCTAACTAATAACGTATGTAATTCTTCTCTTTGTGTATTTATCACCAATTATATTTGGATAAATTTTTGTGAGTACATTTTAATGGATTCCTGAGTGGTTTGTAAACAGACCAGACAGGACGACGTCTGTCGGATCCACTAGTGTAAGTATAATTTTCTGTTGTAATTTCTGTGAGAGAAACAATAAAGAGTTTCATTCACGCATATATTTTTAAATAAAGATTAAGTTTCTACAATTTCAAACCATATGTGTAGTTCAATGCCACGATTTTTCATCACCCATGATCACTCTCATCGAGTGAAAACCGTGGGAGCCCATTGTACGCGTACACTCGTACACAAAAACGTTTAATTGCTACAAAAGGCGTCTGATACAAATGGTAGTTAATTACAAGCTGAATAGATATGTATGCAGTTATTTTCATATGGTGACCATTTAGAAAGTTTATGTGACTGTACTTTATTTTTAAGATTAATTACTATCTTTATATTACAAGTAGTATACTTCATCCAATAATTATTAACAAAGAAACAAGCCTAATCTCCTCTTCAATCTGCTCTGGAAACTAATTCCGATCCAATGATATTGGATATTACCGTTTCGCAATTTTTTTATACACTTGAGTTGACACTTAATAATTTCATATTTCGTAGTCACCGACAGAACTAACTGGCATGATATTGTTATCGGTTTGGTTTTAATTATATTTCAAAAGAACAGTACAAATATGGATTGCATTAAAATCGATATTGTGAGTAGACCCCAGAGTACAGTGGGTTGCCAAATTAATAGGGACAGTCACATTTTTTATAATTTTTGTTCTTCAAGTGGTCTTGACTACGTTTTTAAGTGGTAAAAGTTTTTTGCTGATATGTTTTTATGTTCACCTTGTCTCTATAACTCAAATTCAAAGTGAATTTCAAGTGCTGAGAGATTTGTTTATTTTGGAAATATATTTTAATGACGGGAGAGACACACAGTCGTTCACACGTGTAAAAGTGAAACACGTAAATTATTCTTTTAAACAGTTCTTTAGTGGTTTTGTGAAATAATCAATACCTGCAAGTAAGTAATATTTTACTATAATTAAAATTAAAGTATTTTGGAGCGGATTTAGAATAATTTTAATTTATTTTCATATTTTAAGCTTTGGCTATGGGTCGAGGGGTAGATTTGACTCCGAGAAAAAAATCCGAGGTTAAAACCCTTCTCCTACACACAAATCACTCTCAGAGGATGATAGCACAACTGGCCGGGATATCGAAATCTGCCGTCAATAAAATAAAAATAAATTTAGATCAAAATCAGCCACTTTCGCCCAAAAGAAAAGGCAAATGTGGCAGAAAACGTATCACAACAACACGTTCCGATAGGAAAATTCGAGATATCTGCTTGCAAAACAGAAAGAAAAGTGCTGGATTTTTAACTCAGATAGTACAGGAATCTGGAATACGTGTTTCAAAAAGAACTGTACAGCGAAGGTTGGCAGAGGAAGGCCTGACAGGTCATCGTCCAGTTAAGAAACCCCGATTAACAGAGGCGATGAAAAAGAAAAGGCTTGCTTGGGCTCGTGAGCACCGCCTGAAAACTGTTGAAGACTGGAATAAGGTCAGTTCTATGGTTAATTTTATTTGTGTTATATAAAATCATATTTACAAAAATTATAAATAGTTTCTATATTTTTTTAGGTATGTTTCTCAGACGAGTCAACTTTTTTTCTGGCCAACAAAAGTAACTTCGTGAGACGGCGCCCAGGCGAGAAATTTCATCCTGATTGCATAGTGGAACGAATTAAACACCCTGTAAAAATAATGGTATGGTCTGTCATCAGCGCAAAAGGAGTTGGGCGCCTCTATATCGTCCAGGGAACCATGAGACAGGACAAATACAAGCAAGTATTAGAAACTCGCCTGTTGCCGCAACTTCAGGAATGGTTCCCGAATGGGGAGGAATTCGTGATTATGCACGATTCAGCTCCATGTCATAAAGCGAGGAGTGTAACCAAATTTTTGGAAGACCACAACATTCCAGTTTTACCTTGGCCTGGCAATTCTCCTGATATGAATCCCATAGAAAACTTGTGGGAAATTACCAAGGCGGAAATTGCTAAGGAAATCATAACTACCAAAGTAAAACTAATTGAAAAATTAATAAATGTATGGTTTCACAATCCCAAAATAAAAGAAAGTGCTAAACAGTGTATTGAAAGTATGCCGAGGCGGATTCAAGCACTGATAGAAGCAAAAGGAAATGTGACAAAATACTAATAATTTCCCATCATCATTTTTATTATACTTGTTTATATTTTCTAGTTGTTCAAATATTAAATTATTATAGTCTAAATTCATTATAAGATATGTGTCTGATATTATTAAATATAATTATAGCCTAAAGTGACGTTTTTAATTAATTATAGACCAATGTTTTACAAAAAACGAATATTTCGTGACTGTCCCTATTAATTTGGCAACCCACTGTAGACCTGCAGGTTCTTGTATAAACGATTAAATGTTATTTTCCCAACAAAATAAACACATTACAGAAAATTCACGTTTATCTCAGTTGAAAACTGTGAACTGATGAACTATTTAGTAAGCACGTAATATTTCTCAGAGTTTCTATGTTATGTTGACTCGTGCGTGCCTGTTAACTGTGCAAGCGTTAGTTGCAGTGATCAAATATTTGTCTGTCTACCTAGTGACACTCGCCTTTATAACTGGTAGTGTTAGTGAGTATGGTACAAGTCTAATGCGACAAACTGATAGGTAAGCTTTTATGCACCGCTTAATTTAAAAAAATATTGATTATGCTAGTTGGCTTGGACAATTAAATAAAAAATAATTTATTTATGTAGAACATTTTGACCGCTTATGAAACTCAATTGTTATGTATTAATATTTTTTCCATACCGTCCAGTTCAGTATACAGGTTCATTTAGAAGATATGGCAGATTTTTATATTCTCGCATATCGTCATTATTAAGTATAACAGTGCTAATAAATTATACAACATAAACAGATGCTCGCAAACAATTTCTTACATAATCGAGAACTGTTTGATCGAATATGAAAGAAATTATATTTGATAGTTATTGATATTTAATTGTCAAATTTGTAAATAACCATTTGCCTGCTACCTATCAATTCGTTATTTCTTTCGAGTGATGTTCTGCATTTGGTAGAAGTAAAAACACAATATTTGATAAAAATAAGTTTATTGTACTTATTATAAGTTGGTACCTAAATATAAGTTTTAAATTTCATTATCTCATAACTCGTACCGTTCCAAATATTTATGGCGTCGTCAATGCACCTTAACTTGAACCCCACTTTCAACAGGAAATGAACGCGCCCAGGGATCTATTTAAACTTCCATGTATGCACAGATCGGCTCTCGTTGAGCCTCTTGTTAGGTTACTCCTTTGAAAATTAACGGTATTTAAACTTAACATAACATCAAGAGTCCACAGTTGTTTATATATAATATATGAAATTCGTTAATATTTATTTTGTCATTAAAATTTAACATAGACGTAAATAACTAATCGTATCGTTATTTAAAAAAAATCACATTATAAGTATGTAAGTAGTATAAGAGTAAATATGAGGGTACGCTGTTTTGAATACTTATCTTAATTGTTAACCGATTTCGATTATATGATTACAGTAAATTGAACAAAATTTTAATATTTTCATGAAACATCATTTTACATTATTATACCTATTAAAACCGTGAATCAGTTTTATATAACAAGTTAATATTAACCAGTTTCAGGGAACGTTCACTTTTACTTTCAACTTGCACTCGACAGTCATATTTTATTGCTCGGTTTCAATTAAAATGATGAACGGTAGCAATTAGAAAATCGATCATCAAATAAAGATTACGATTTATGGCTAGAATTGAATATTGGCACTCCCATCGGGCCAATTGAAGCAGCTGTCTTTCAATTTACACACGATTTTGTTCGTTTAAATTCGCCACACGTGTAGGGTTACCAGACGATCAACGGGAACTCTTCTGACTTATCCGGATAGTAGATATTGTCACATTACCAGCTTACAAGCAATTTGCACATTGCGAATTTTATTATTCCAGCTAGATCTAATATAATAATGTCATGACAATATCTATTTATACTTATATATAGTATAAATATACACTAATTTAAAAATAATAAAGTAATGAAAGAGAGAAATTAATTAATCAAATCAGTTTCATAATTTAATTTATTATACTTATGTAACGGTTGGCGTTACATTGCTCCTATGATACATTCTTAAAAATTAAAGAATGATTAATTTCCTGAAAAGCCAGGGATGCTGTTAGGAAATATGATTTTTCCCTTCTGGTAACCCTACACACGTGTTCATTTATTCGATTCTGTCCAATTAAGTCATCTGCCCACGACGTCACGCCTTTATTGGACATCTCTATAGCCACTAAGTCTGAGACACATGTTTCCTAAATGTTCTGGTGTTATTTATGACAATGTTAATGTGATACATCCAACGATGGAAACGATTGATAAAAGCAAATATAAATTTTTACTAAGCTTGAATACACTTTAAAGTTTTTGTAAGATATTTTATGTAATGCGGACCTAACACTTTTATGTTTGAAAAGAAAACATTCATTTTGTAACAAAAAGAACTTACGGTTTATATAATTTATTTATTTAGAAAAACTTCATGGTAGTATATACTTCATTCCATTTCTTAAGTCGTTTAATTTCGGCTACTAAATTCGATCATAATTTTTCTGACTGATTTGAATCTACAAGAATATATTCACGTAGAAATACAGGCATTATGACAATCAACAGAATTCCATGTTCTGTTCTTAATAACAGTAAAGGATAGCAAAATAAATGAACAACCTAACCCGTTGAATGCTTTTGTAAAAATTTTCCCTCCTGATAATAATTATGATATGCACTATGCACTAAATGAACGTTTTTATGGCACCATAATTAATGTGATGGTCAGTAGATTTATTAATTAACCTCTTTAAGTTGACACTGACACTAACGGCCAAACTCTGACGAATCATGATAACCGTGTAAATGTAATTAATCGCTTCACTAAGTGACATGTCCTGCACTGGACAGTTCTGCTATTTTTGATGAAAGGTGGTCTACATGGTGATGCAGGCAAGTTTTTTTTGTTATGTATCTTTATAAAACAAAGTAGCCGCCGCTGTTTATTCGCTTATATCTTTCAAATTACGCAACGGATTTTACATACAGATACAGTTTTCAGCAATACCACGTGGAGGCATGATCTTAGTCATCTGGAATGGCAACGTATTAAAGTTACTTCGGGCATTACGTGACGATCTAATGTCCATGGAAGCACTAAGTTCATGTATATACGTATGTAGGCGACGGTTACTACTTACTATTGATCAACCGACAACTCGCATATCATTTTAGTAAGATTAAAAAATGACCTCTATTAAGTCTTATTCTATTGTTCATTATTAGTGACCAGTTACCGTAAATCATTAGCGCATAAGAGATCACTTTTTCATCATCAATCACAAATCATGATTGAATATTAATAAAATATGGTTCTTTTTAAATTCTATATTTAAATATTCATTTAAAGGTATGTCTAATATTTTTATAAATTTATTACGTATGTATTATGGAAGAAACGGAATTTTGTTTATGAATGATATTTTAAGGTAGAGATGTAATTACATAATATCCGTAGGAAACAAGTTTTTTAATCAATTCAGTACCCTTTTCTATATATTTCCATGGTATTGCGTAATACGCATCCGGTATTCGTTTTAAAGTGCCTTCTTGGTTTTTTAATTGTTTTATAGTTGATTGAATATTAATGATGAAAATAAAAAAGAATTGATACTTAAAGCTTGTTTACAGTCACAGCCATATTTCATTGAATTGTAGTGTACTAATTAATTAATAATTAATAATAGTAAAGAATATTGTACATTGCTATATATTTTACTCAACACAGAAACGTATTTGGTATTGTTTGGGCTTGCGTAAAGTTTGCGTTACATTGTTATATGCAGATATTTCAATTTTATATAGATTTTACCTTAAGTTTTTTTTTAAATAAGTAATTGCCATTAACCAAGCGCAATCCCATTATTAATAAAAAAAAGTCATCATTTCCATAATATTCAATATAAACTCGTTTAAAATTCTATTGTAAAGAAAAAAGATTTGTCTGTTTGTTTTGATTATAATGGATGAATACAAAAAATTACTTAACCGATCTGTCTATATGTTTGTTTGTTAACTCGATTAAACGGCTAGACAGATCTTAATTAAATTTAACAAAAGATACAATCTCTAGCCAAGACCGACATAG